TTTTTATCAATTTGTTGTTTGAAATCCCCGCTGCTATTTTGTATCAAGTAAAAATCATGTTGTAGAAGTAGGTCAGAGAAGTGCTACAACGACATGGACATGTATTTTGAGTGTTATATTCCGTATGTACTATTTATTTGTGTCTGTGGCATGACCATGAGTAGACATCGTTGTCATGAACTGTGAACCACTTAAGTGAGTTTTTCAAGCTGTTTTTGTTCTGCCCGAATTTCGGATGGAATCTGCATCAAAGAATAAGTGCTTCGGAAATAAGAGGTCGCAGTCGGCAAAATCATATCCGATAGAAAAAAGGCCGACCAGCGGCCTCTTATGTTACAGTAGTAGAGGTAGAACGTGCTTTTACATGTGAGATGTAAATATAATCTAAAGAGTAAACACTTGAATGAGCAAGCATATCCTAAAATGATTGTTGATCAAACTTTGTTCTAAAGAATAATGTCACCGCATATGATTTGGAGTACAGATAATTGTAATTGAATCACGCCTTACTGTATTCCAACAATAGTTTTCTGTGAAATATACAGAGTATACATGAAACTGATTCCTGCATTTAGCTTGAAATATGCTAATAAACTATCCTGCTAATTAATTTGTATAGGGATTGAATCTGGATTTTTCCAATGTACATGCAAATATGAACGGGGAAAATTTTACTTACACACCACATGAGCGGCCCTAGCGAAGCGAAGGCCGTTCATGTGAAATTTAAGAAATTAATAAAGATATAATTTTGTAACAGCAAACCATTGTTTCAGTCCTCCAAAACCTACGCTTCCAAAGGTGATACCAGTGACGCAGAGCAATTTTACAACTTCTAAGCCTAGAATCAATGTCACTACCGAAAGTAGTGCATCGACTGTAGATAATACTCCGACCCCTGTAAGTGTCACACCATTTCTACCTCGCACCACCAAGGCCTCTGACAGCCAGCCGTAAGTATAAAACCTTTCTTTCTCACAACCACAACTAATGGTTTCTTGGCAAATAATATAAGTATGTAGCATCCGATTCCAATAACAATCACTTATATATATATATGTACCTAAACTGACTGGGTTGATTGCCGGGCACAACAGCCACCATGTAGTACAATTTGTTAGAGCGTCGGTTTAGAGTTTTGAGGGTCCCTGGTTCGAACCCCGGTCTGGCCATGCATTTTTCTGCTCCTATTACATATGCATTGTGCGGACTTCTCTCAAGTTGTGCCCCATAACAACCAATGAAGAAAACACACACCAATGACAAGTTTATTGCCATGGTCCCTGTCAGCCAAAATATACAACATCCAATCGCCATGATAACTACATTGTATACATATCTCCAGTGGGACCCCACGACATCCAGTATAGTATTATGCACCCAGTAGTGTGCTACTCATAAGTAAATTCATATAGAATGTGAACTAATATATAGAATATAGATGCTTTATAATTTTATTTCGACAAAAGTTTTGACAGTAATCCTTGCCGGCTTTAATATAGACTATAATGGCTGACATATATTATAGATCTGCATCCTGTGGCATAATGTTTGGATTACTCTTCACAGAACTGTTTAACCCCTCCACCCCTAGAGATTAATTATGGACTTCTCCAGATCAGCGGGTTGACGGACTATAAATATCAATTAGGAGTGAACGGGTTAATATGACTTCAGGAGCCCAATGTTTTCCTGCCTTAGACCTACAAATTACCCATAGATACGAACAAAATTGGATAGTTTTGAAATAAAAACAGTGTTCAGGGATAACATGTAAGCTAGTGCTGTTATTGTACTCTCTTGTAAATACTGACAAAGGGATGCTGCAAACACCATCAAAAATCTGAACAGATTTTAAAAGGAAGCCAAAATACAATATTGTGAAATATCAGAGGTAGAATTATTTCAACAATGTTAGAGGTTTACACGGCGAGAAACTTTTGACAGGCACCGCATAACCTCTAACTGCCCATAGCTGATTTTCCCAAATCTGACCATCAAATCTTCAAAGTTAGGATTTAGAAAAAGTATAGCGTATTTACAAACATTAAAATGTTCAACAGGGTCAAATAAATATTCCTTTCCATAAATAGATGATTAAATGATAAGAATAATAATGGTTTTTTTTTCTGTTTCAAAGTGAAGCAGACAACATTGGCCTCGATTTCCCGGTTTATACAAAAATGTTTTACATACACTGTTCTACAAGCGGAATACAAACAAATTTTTTATCAATTTGTTGTTTGAAATCCCCGCTGCTATTTTGTATCAAGTAAAAATCATGTTGTAGAAGTAGGTCAGAGAAGTGCTACAACGACATGGACATGTATTTTGAGTGTTATATTCGGTATGTACTATTTATTTGTGTCTGTGGCATGACCATGAGTAGACATCGTTATCATGAACTGTGAACCACTTAAGTGAGTTTTTCAAGCTGTTTTTGTTCTGCCCGAATTTCGGATGGAATCTGCATCAAAGAATAAGTGCTTCGGAAATAAGAGGTCGCAGTCGGCAAAATCATATCCGATAGAAAAAAGGCCGACCAGCGGCCTCTTATGTTACAGTAGTAGAGGTAGAACGTGCTTTTACATGTGAGATGTAAATATAATCTAAAGAGTAAACACTTGAATGAGCAAGCATATCCTAAAATGATTGTTGATCAAACTTTGTTCTAAAGAATAATGTCACCGCATATGATTTGGAGTACAGATAATTGTAATTGAATCACGCCTTACTGTATTCCAACAATAGTTTTCTGTGAAATATACAGAGTATACATGAAACTGATTCCTGCATTTAGCTTGAAATATGCTAATAAACTATCCTGCTAATTAATTTGTATAGGGATTGAATCTGGATTTTTCCAATGTACATGCAAATATGAACGGGGAAAATTTTACTTACACACCACATGAGCGGCCCTAGCGAAGCGAAGGCCGTTCATGTGAAATTTAAGAAATTAATAAAGATATAATTTTGTAACAGCAAACCATTGTTTCAGTCCTCCAAAACCTACGCTTCCAAAGGTGATACCAGTGACGCAGAGCAATTTTACAACTTCTAAGCCTAGAATCAATGTCACTACCGAAAGTAGTGCATCGACTGTAGATAATACTCCGACCCCTGTAAGTGTCACACCATTTCTACCTCGCACCACCAAGGCCTCTGACAGCCAGCCGTAAGTATAAAACCTTTCTTTCTCACAACCACAACTAATGGTTTCTTGGCAA